CTAACCCGACCGATCTGTCCACGTCGTGGACTTAGTAACAATGTCAATATTGTATATATCATATATTAGTCGATACCTATTTCGTTAGTAGGATGGTGATCGGCTAAACCTAGTAGGCATGTGTGACAAAGATTCAGGGTATTCTACTGCAATTGTTTGTTATTCAATTATTATTTCGTTATAAATTATTAAGAAGTTTAGTTGATAATATTTTTCTTAGCGGATACGATTAGTTCTCACCTTTTATTACCACGTTTTTTGTAGTTTGGCACATTGGTTCGTGATCCCCATGTTTTTAGCTGACGATCCGGATATCCATGATAAATTTGTTTTGCTTAGTTCATTTATACGACCGGAGACACTGTTTAAAATTGTTATATATGGTTTTTAACTCCAACCGTGATACCTTCCTATTTATCCTTTACATATTGTCGATAAATTATCAGCCGCGTCCTTTTGTTTGTATATTAGGTGTCTGAGTTATGCTGCCATAATCGCCGCCACATGACCTCCATGTCCGCCGCCGATGATGACAACATCGTTCTCATAGGATCTCGACGAAGCGAAGCCACGAGTGAGGGAGAGAGAGAATCTGAGAGTAACAGTGGGAGAATTAGAGATGTTTCTGGTGAGTAACTAGGATTTTCTCTTAGCTAAGCTCGCCATCGCCATCGTTGAATCTTGCTTTGTTCTTCTTTCGTCCAACTTTCAATAGTATAATTGAAAAGATCCTACCTGTTTTTTTTAATTCATTAATTAATAATCCCATACCTACTAATTAACCTAACCGAATTAACCCAACAATAAATCATCATGCACAACGGAAACATATTGAACCAACATCAATTAATCATAATATTAATTAACCAATCATTCAATGACCACAATTTACACCAGCAACCTAGCATGCCTCTTAACCAGGTTCCAACAACAATTAACATATTCATAAACATAACAATCGAGGCCCTAGATCATCCTCCTCTCCTCGCCATGATTCCACGGATCACACTTTACCTGCACCACAAACACAATGAGATGCGTGAGTATTATCACAAATACTCAGTGAGCGATCCTCCCATTCACTGGGCTATACACACAAGCATATTAAACCAATCTAACATGCATCAGATTAACCAAAACAAAAAAAAAGGCATAAAAAGACACGAATCACACGCTGTCCAGAAAAACTGTCCAGAAAAACTGTCCAGAAATTCGGTGTCGAGCGACACCGACCCCACAGAAACCATGAAATCGCCTCTCAACTCTCCAGAGAACGAATCCATCACCTCCAAAGCTCCAGCCATGAGCCCTAACACTCAAACATACAATAACAGCAACCAAAACACACAAACATGGCCACACAAAAAAAATCCAGCCATCCAAATCAATCAAACACACATAAGAAGGGTTAAACATGCTTAGATCAGCCATAGTCACGCACTCACCTTGATATGGATTGAAAGAAGGACAAAACAAAGAGGAACAGAAAGAACAAGACCCTCCTTGCACCACCAGCCAAGAATCCAACCCCTCCTTGCTAGAACTCAGCAGAACTTGCCACAGAAACCTCCAAAAACCCTCACAAGCCTCTTCTTAAGCTTTAGGAACAACCAACTCACAACCCTCTCTCTCTCTCTTTTGTTGTTAAGAAGCGATAAAAGCCAAAAGTGAGAAAGAAAGGCTGCTTCCACGAGTTAAAGTCGTGCCTAGGATTTCTGCTATCAATTCTAATTAAACCGACGGTTTAAAAGCTAAACCGTCTAACCCAATTTTGTTGGTGTCGATCGACACCCATGTGTGGCTAAGCTAAGCCCTTCGTATCTGGTAATACTCACAGTATTCCAACTTCACGATGTGAACCCGCCACGTACATGTAGGAGATAGGGAAGTTAAAGTGATAAGTTTCTTGCATGATCGATCACGGTGGAAATGGAAACAGCGGTTTAATGCGTGCACAGTAATTTTGGCATTGCGATCTTGTTTGTTTTTAAAAACATGACCCACAAACAATTCATCGCCTTCATACTGCACATCGTGTATCGCCATCTCCATACCTAGACGGCATGTTATTCGAGTTAAATACATATTGTCTAAATCAGCAACGATGTAACTTCGAATATCACATGCTATTTGTATGTATCAGATGTTATATTACCTTCTTCTCTTTGCTCATCCAACACGGGCGCATCATCACGGTTGAAAGAAGCAAAGTTGAGGCACAAATCTTCAAGAGCTGCTTGTAGGGGTACACGCAGATCTAAGTCTAGGTTAATTGGGCTCGCTATATAATTTGCCGCGTGACCGAAGAAACTACACTCTCTCGCCGTCTCGGCTTCCATGGCATCACTCTCAGCCTCACTGTCGGAACTTGGCTCGCTTGCATCATCTCCAAAGTCGATGGCTGGCCCTCTCATGTTTTTGAGGAAGTCCATCTCCACGGGGCCGAGATCACCACCCTAATATACCACACAAGTTCTTATTATTTTTTCATATATGAATAAAAAAATATTATGATGCTACCGATATTTGTTACTGAACTTCCTTACCTCGTTAGAGCTTTCGCTATCTGAACTGTCGGTTTCTACAAAGAGCAGCGGCATGTTGAATCTTTGGGTTAATGAAGAACGGTTGTGGAAGTCTCTCCATTGGCGGTCATGCTTGTTTCCGACAATCTCATCCATCGAATTACAGCTTCCTCCTTCATCAGTTGCCGTATCTGGCTTGCATGATAACTTGGCAAAGGTGTCGAAGTCTCACCTTCCTCGACGTTTTTTCCTTTATCGTTTTTTCCAACACTCGCGTCTTCGCTGGCCCCGTCGATTGTAGCTAGTCCATCTAGTGAAACCTTTGAGACGTATATATTCATGTACGGAAGGTCATGGCGGAGGGCGAGGAAAAAATTCATAACATCGTCTGTTCGGATGGTCACGGGTCGGGCTCTACGTGCAGTTGGTGATCGTAAATCCAGCAACTCCGGCCATTGGTATGAAAGGTGGAGCTCCCACCCCTCATACTCCAACCCAAATGCATGGCGAACGCGTTCCCGGACCGTAGCTAATTTCTCGCCTTCGCGGATAGTCATTCTCATAACCGCGTTGAACGGGTTTGTGATGAAAACCCAAGATCCATCGACGCCGATTCCCCATGATCCGCTGACCACCCTTGTATGACGGTCTATTATTTTTGTTTTAACAACCATCATGACCTACATCAAAGATAGCAAATGCATTAATTACACAGATGAAAAACTGTTAATTTCACTATACAACGTTACAATAACATAAAACTTTGATTACTTCTTTAAACACCCAACCACCCATTGCTTACCTTTATCAGATACTTTGTCTGCTATCACGAGTTCCCTTTTGAGGCTTGTGGTTTTTTGGTTGCGTAGTGTTTTTCATTGTTAAAGCTTGGTATCAAGTTCTTATTTAAACGAAGACATTCCAGTGGAGTTAGGGCTATAGTAGGCGAGATATTTTAATGCACAGTGCGTTTGCCTTTCTCTGCTACATGTTTTGATTTTTGAATCCTTCTGATTCCCCCCCCCCCATAACCCAAGGCTGGTGATGGGAAGTTACTTTACTCATTGGTCTTGTCCATGTGTCGTGTTATTTTTACATATTGCATTCGTTTGTTTAAATTAGCATGTCATACATTCTTATTTCACACTTTTCTGTACGACATTCAATGGATCTACCCATGGACGACATCTTCGTTGTTACAGCTGTCGGTTATCTCGCACCTAAAACTTGTTATGTATCTGTGTAACTTGTTATTATTTTTTGATATAGGTGTACTCAAGTTCTTATTGTAGATGGAGAGTAGGCGGCAGAGCATTTAATGTCATTGATACGTGTCTATTATACTTCATCCCTCATTCTAACATGTCTTATCAAACAACGACCAGAGGCGTATTTCCCATGACAAGTTGCTTTGTCATTATTACCGTGTGAAAAAGTTATAACATGTTGATCTTTATTATTACAACGCAGCTATTTTTATTCTGAGGTACAACTTCCTCTTCACCCCAATGTCGACACCAATGTGACGAGCCAGGCCCATATGCTAATTTTTAGACATTCCGCTATATCTAAGCCCATGCATTATTATGTCGAAGTCTAAGCCCACTCAGGCCCCCAAAATTCTTACATGTGCTTAGTTGCTGACGATGTCTTTATTCTTTGTCTCTTATTGTTATATGTCATATGTTGTTTCTTGTTTATTTACTACTCATATTGTTTTCCATAAGAAGTTACTGGGTTATATTTTTATTACAAGTCATATTTTTTTCAAACAATTAACTTTCTTGCCTATATGTTCGCCATTCTGGCCATTAACGCACTTCGGCGTCGTCCTGCAATGTACTATACCTATTTTACTAAATGATCCAGTGCCATTAACTGTAGTATGATTCAGTGCGATTCATGTTTTTATCTTCTGGAACTTCGCCGTTGAAGGTACTCTTGGCTATACACACCGGGTTCAAATTTTCTGTCTCATGCGAGCTATTATATTGGTATGTCTTCTGTATTACTTAACTTGGTATATTTGTCTGGGCATGCTATATATTTTCCTGTTTTTAGGACCAACTGTTAGTTTGATAACATGCGTTTTTAAAAAAACCAGTAGTCATTATGACTTGCACTTGCGTTTGTCCCTCGTCTATGGCCGTATATTGCAAATTTCCACCGCTTCTATAAGGTTAGTTTCGATTTTTCATCACCTCTAAAAACGTTAGTTACTAAAATATTTGTGCAACAAAATTATTTACTAATTCTGTCTGAGTCAAAGACTATTATTTAATAACGCCCTATATTGTATAATAAAATTATTTATAATAATTATTATTTATATTATTCTGCATCATTTCTGTACTTTACCGTTATCACTAAACGAATGTTTATTATTAGTTATTAAATTTTGATTCTATTTTTTTTTTGCGCTTTTCAGTAAACATTCTTTATTGATAAACATTGTTTATTGATATGTCGGTGTAATAGTTATTATGACGTGGCCACAAATGAGACTCACTTACAAGACATGTGTACAAATCTTGTCCTCATTCATGGATCATATGAGCCGAAACATTCCACTCACACTCTCAAGAACCCAATCTTCACATATTCTTGTACTATCATCGTCTACAAATCAAGAATTCCAAAAAATAAAGTTCAATGGCAGAGGAGTTTCATCTTCCTTCAATCGAAAACGAAACCGATCCGACCCCTACCGAAGAAGATTTCGAAGCAAACACTACTTTCATCGACGACGAGTACCTCCGTTACCTTCATTACCTGGATTCAAGAAACAACCATGGAGTCAACACGTTTGGTTCTTACGATGAAATCTTCGGTCTAGTTCTCGGCAACTCATCGACTTGTATGCCGCAGCTTAACGCGGCCGAGGAGCTTCCGGTGGTGGAGTTTACGGCTGAGGAAATGATGGAGAGAGGTTTGGTGGTCTGTGCTATATGTAGAGAAGAGCTTGCTGCTAATGAGAGACTCTCTGAGCTTCCTTGTCGGCATTATTACCATAAAGATTGTATCTCAAGTTGGCTGAGTAATCGGAACACGTGTCCGCTTTGTCGTCATAATGTAGAATTGCCTAAAGAAGGTTGAGATTGTGCATGTACCATCTCCATTGGGAGCTTAAGAGTTTTATTTTTTTTGGTAAATATTATTGTGTTTTGTTGAATATGACGGTCATATTATGACCGTAGGTTGCTTGACAAGTGTAGTCTAGCTTTTGTGAATTCGTATGAAACTTATATGTAACGATCTCTATTCCTTTCAATATAAATTGTTTAAATCAATATAAATTGTGAGTAAACCATTTCATTTTGAAAAAAGTAAAACCAAAATATCATCTTTTCTAAAAGAGAGGAAATAGTAATTGCTTAGCTGAGTATATCTAAGTTACGCTCTTTTATTGAGCTCTGTTTGAGTGTCTTACGGGTAAAATATAGAAAATATAGCACTATAACACCGTTTACATGTTTCGTATTACACTATCACACCGTTTGTAGCCAAGACACCGTTTCTATATGCGAAGTTTCAATACTACCCCTTCAACTAAAAGACAACTAATGTTATCCTGTTAGCCCAATACTTCATCTTCTTCTCTCTCTCTCTCTC